TATCTATATTCTGACTATTTCTATCTATCTATCTATCTATCATCTATCTGTCTGTTATCATCTATCTGTCTGTGTATCTATCTGTCTGTCTGTCTGTCTGTCTGTCTGCCTGTCTATCTATCTATCTATCTATCTGTGCTCTCAGTGAAATACTATTTTTTTTTAATTAATATTTTGAATTAGTTTTTATTTATATAGTTTCCATTTTTGTTTTAATTTTAGTTAAGGTTATATTGAATTTGTTGTGTTTTTTAAATTGTTTATTGTGTATATACTATAGCTTATTAATTATTAAAATTTTGGTTATTTTATCATAACGAAAAAAAAAGAAAAGAAACTGATGTAAAAAAAGTCCAAGATTTATATGTGCGTGTAAAAAAATGGGTAATTAAATATATTTATATAATATAGAATATATATAAAATGTATAGAATATATATCAATTGTTTGTTCATATTTGCCATTGTCGTTTTTTTTGTAGTTACAGTTGTATTAATTTTGATGTGCATTTTTGTCATTTAAAAAAAAAAAAAAAAAAAAGTATTTATATTTTTATTAGGCACTATCTAATCTCATTGTAAGAAGAAAAGCAGCATGAATATCCTGCTCCTAACATACAGTATATGTGTGTTTATCTGTGTTCATGGTCTCAAAGCTCAACTGAAAGGGCGATGGGATGTTTCCTCACCTGCAGTGAACAGAAATGGGCCCGTCCTGTCCAAACTGCTCCTTAGTTTTATGCACCTGTCCGATGAAGTCGATGAAGCCCTCTCCTGATTTGGGAACACCCTGCTCCGGCCAATCGGTGAACTGGAACTGCCGAACGGTCCTGGACTGGCCGTCCTGAGAGATAAACACGAACAGAAACACGGCTGCAGAAACCCTGACGGATGAAGACGAGAGCGACGGCCAGGACAGAGAAACAAGCGATCGAAGGGAAGCTCAGGCAGAACCAGGCACAATTAAAAGCCGAAGGGGCCGGAAATATTCACTCATCCCTACAGTCAGAGTCCGACGGATCAAACACACTTAATCACAGTCTAACGCCGGGCTTTCCGGATCACAACCGTTACACAGCAGACAAAAAACAAAAACTCCTCTACATTTCTATTTCCTAATGCTGGTGATTTGTTTTGTTTTTGTTTGCTTGTGTTAAGAAAGAGATCAAAACACAGTTAAATTAATCAAAAATAAAAACGTAATTATTTATTATTAATTATTGTAATTATTAATGCGTTTATCAATATATGTATATTTTTATATTTGTTTTATGTATAATAATTTTAAATATTAACATATTAATAATTTAAAAAAATAAATTAAATATTTAATTCAGAAAAAAACGAAAAAAAAGAATAAGAAAAAATATATACCTTGTTTGAGTATATTTGTATATTAATACTATTAAAATGTGATTCATATATATATATATATATATATATATATATATAAATAAGTGCTGTCAAACGATTAATCGCATCCAAAATAAGTTTTTGTTTACATAATATGTGTGCGTACTGTGTATATTTATTATGTATATAAATACACAAATGCATGTATATATTTAAGAAAAATGTTTTTGTATATATATATATATATATATATATATATATATATGTGTGTGTGTGTGTGTG